TGAAAGTGATAAAAAACGGTCCTATAAAGGGTTAAGGAACATTAAAGATGCTCTTAAGGTGCATCTGACCTTAATGTGTAAAAGCATCAACAATGAAGCGCCAGACGCTTTGTTGATGCTCAAAACACAGCGTGAGCGTAGCTTTGGACTTTCTGATTGTTTGAATTTACCTATGAAACATAATATTGTAGCTAAAAATGATCTCATGTCTTCCTTGTGAAATTTCCACCTCTACAATCACACATACTTCCCATAATCAGGACAAAAGTAGTGTTGGAACGTAGAAAAAAGTTAGCTGCATTCAACCTCAAAAAGCAGAAAATAGCGTTCTGCTTGATCTACGTGAGGAGAACAAGTGTGAAGATGGGGGAACCCACCACTGAGCAGTTCTATCCAGCTCTGCACCGTCTCTGGGGTCGGGGTCTCCTTGATGTGCTTCAGAGCCTCATCCAGAAGAACATCACCTGTCGGAGCGTCGGAGCGGCAAAGAACCTGGGAATTTAAACCAGAACACAAACAGGAGGTCAAAGGAGGAAGAAACAGACCCAAGTTTCCCCACAGACCAGTGGCTTCTACCTTTCTGGCCAGCAGACTTTTCCTCCTGACGCCACACGGCTCCAGCTGAAGGCGTCCTCGTAGGCCCAGTTCGATCAGCATGCACCCCCGCAGGCCCGACGATATGCAGTCGTTCCAGAACGACGTGTAGCCCTGCGCCGTGGAAACAGAGCCACAGTCCAGGTGTGAGGACATTACAACAGGAAGTGCGGACTTTAACCTGGACCACTGACGGCCAAGAGGCAGCTAAGAACCGGATCTTTTTGCTGCAGCAGAGCCAGAGGAAGATGGTGATCTCATCCTGAACGCCTCGTGCGTTCATTGTTTGGTCCACTTCCTGTTTATTCAGTAAAGGTCCTCAGCACATGAAGGCAGTTTAACCTGAGAAATCTTTTTGCTCTGCAAACATACTGTCTGTTTTACACAAACGGCGCCTGGAAGCGTCACGCTGATCCTGATCGGCTGACCTCCGGTCCAACCAACAGCTCTGGGAATCAAGTGGGAAACCTTTATGGATTGGGAGGGGGGAACGACCTGAGTCGCCACTATACCGACCTGCTCTGAGACGGATGATTCATAAAGATTCACACGGTCGGATCCTGTAAACAGCTAAGCCCACTTTTATTCTCCTCCAGTCTTTGACTGTATGATGATTTTTCTAAAATATCCAAACTATGGAGTCTGAATGATCCAAACGATCCAAGCCCGCCTCCGGCTACTGAAGGTTCTGACCCTGCAGAGAACTGAGGCAGGGATCATGGTTCTGTCAGACCTTTAGAATCACAGGATCATCATCAAACATAATCCTGGATGATTTAAAACCTTCACTTTGTTTTCTGTGCAGAAACAGACTTGCATAAAGTAGAGATTATACGTAGCAGCAGCATAACGCTTCACTATAGTCCCAGTTAGGTCTGTATTTGGGTTTTAGGCACAAGTTAATTGACCTTAATTGATCTCATATTGGCTGCTCAGTGGCACTGGTGCCTTTCAGCAAGAAGGTTCTGGGTTCGATTCCTGGCCCGGGGTATTTCTGCATGGAGTTTGCATGTTCTCCTTGAGCATGCGTGGGTTCTTCCTGGGTACTCAAGCTTCCTCCCGCATCGACACGTCCGCAAGATAATCAATCATGTTTTTTTTTTCCTCTGGTCTATTTTTATCCATTTGCTCCTGGGCGTAATTCTTCCTCGCTTCCTGGTTATACTCTTACAGCAGTTTGTTGCAGTGAGCTTGACACAGACATTTTTAAATTATGCTCAATATTGAAGCGTGGTCTGAGCTACA